CTTGGGAAAAAGATGAATTTGTTTTGGACCCAACAAAAATCACATTATCCGTTGGTAAAGCGGGCATTACCGGTGATGTATTTAAAAATTCATACTTAATGGACCGATTCAATATTCAAGTAAATAAAACGTCACGCAATACAGTTTTACTTATGACCAATATTGGAACTACTAGGGGCAGTGTTACTTTCCTAATCAATGCATTGCTTCAGATAGCTCATGAATTGGATGAGAGCAACCGTTCCTTAAATAAACGTGAAGCTGAAATTTCAAGAAAACATATTGCATCATTATTAAATGATGTGCCTCCTCTACCCGACTTTAGCTATTTTCACCGTTCATTTCAAGCTACACCGGGAGTACCTGGCGGAAACATTCGTGAAGCTTTTTTCTTGGCTTATGATGAAGAAATGTGCGAATACATTCCATTGTCAGAATGCATGAATGCATTAGAAAATAAAACAGAACTGGTGTCTACTTCTTTTGTTATTCCTTATCCTCCTGGGTTTCCAATATTGGTACCGGGGCAAGTAATAAGCGAGGAAATTATTCGTTTCATGTTGGCTTTGGATGTAAAAGAAGTGCATGGTTACAGGTCTGATTTAGGATTAAAAATATTTACGAAAGATGCATTGAACAGAAAAAACACCCTTTCAGCAATGGCTGCAATGCCGATGAATATTGGAGGTAAAACAAAAGTGAAAAAATTAAAAACTTAAAATAATTTTTATTAATTCCTCGCAGGCTTCTCAACTCGGCTCGATATGACTTTTCGATTGTTTAGTTCGAGTGGAATCGAAAACAAAAAGATGGCATTGTAAAAACAAAAATCAAATCATGGAAACTGCAAAGCAAAAACTAAAAAACATATCTGACATCAGACGCTTTTTTTATGCGAATGAAACTCCTATCTATTTTATCAGTGCAACTAATTTTAATTTATTAGGTGCCGATGAATGGGTGAAAGAGTATAAGTTTATTTCTTATATCGATTGTTTTGACGGGCAACATCCTAATTTATTTTCTCCTAAAGAAGAAATACCTCATGCTGAATTTACAGGCATTGAAGACATCAACAATTACTTATTACAACATCCTGAAGTAATCAGCTACATCAAATCTCGCAGCCAGAATGGAAAAGCTGGCAAAGCCTTGTTTTTAATGTTTGACGAAAAAACTGAAGAGCTAGCAAGAGGATTAGGATTGGAAGTTTGCTTCCCTTCTGCAAAACTTAGGGCATTTATGGATAACAAAGTAAACACTAACAGAATTGCTGAAAAAGCAGGTGTTGCCTGTGTTCCATATGTTTTATCAAATGTAAAAGACTTCAATCATTTACGTGAAGTTTCAAAAAAATTAGGAAACGATTTGGTGGTGCAAACACCTTATGGCGATTCAGGACATACTACTTTTTTTATTTCGAACGAAAACGAATTTGATGTACACAAAGTTGAAATAATAAAAGAAGCGGAAGTAAAAATAATGAAGCGTATCAACTGTAAGGGCTCTGCGATTGAAGCCTGTGTTACCCGACACGGCACTTTAGTTGCGCCTTTGATGACTGAATTAGTTGGCTTTAAAGAATTAACGCCTTACAAAGGCGGATGGTGTGGTAACGAAATTTTTGGAAATGCATTTAATCCGGACATCAGAGAAAAAGCAAAAAAATACACCATACAATTTGGTAACCAATTACGAAAAGAAGGTTACAAGGGTTATTTCGAATTGGACTTTTTAATTGATCAGGATAATGGAGAAGTTTATTTAGGTGAATTAAACCCTCGCATCACTGGATGCAGCTCTATGACCAACCATGCATTATTTGCCTATGCTGATGTTCCACTCTTTTTATTTCATATTTTAGAATGGATGGACGTAGATTATGAAATAGATATAAACGCATTAACGGATAGATGGAGTAAACTGGAAAACATCGATAGCTGGAGTCAATTAGTAATTAAACATACACGTAAAACTTTAGAGTTGGTAACAGATGCACCACAATCGGGTATTTGGGAAATGCAAAAAAATGGAAATATAAAATTCAAAAAAATGGATACCCATCGTTTGTCGGTGGTGAATGATAACGAAGCATTTTTTTTACAAATAACGCAAGAGGATGGTTATTTGTATGAAGGCGCAGATATGGGAATTTTAGTAATGCGTGGCCGATTAATGACTGATGATTTTCAATTAACCATAAGAGCAAAAACCTGGATTGAAGGAATTCGCTCCATATACAAAGCAGAAGTGTTAGAAAATTATGGAACTGAAGAAGATCTGTTACCTGAAACTGGTGGTTTTAAAATGATTTAAGTTTTATTTGGTTTTGCAATTTCTTATAATTATAACCAAGCAAAATAAAGTAATAACAACTTAAAAAATGCTTATTTCTCAGGGAAACAAACTTAACAGCATTTATTAGTGCTTCCCTTGTGAAGAAAACGGCCGCACCTAACAGCGATTTTCGCTATGTGACTTTTGCTTCATTGAGTAATTTCAGGTTGTTTTGAATCATAGCAAAATAACAATTATTCACCACTAAAAACCGTACTACATAGACAGTCATAAAACGATACTAGAAGCATCCACATGGTTTATTCCCGTTTGAAACTCTCTACTTAAAAGGGATTTGAGAAAATCGTATTCAGTTTTGCTCTCAACAAAATTAAGATGCGTTACATCAACCAATACAACCTTAAGTTGACTTTGGTATTTGAAATAATCGAGATAAGCTTGTTGAATATTTTCGAGATAACTGGCCGGGATGGATTGTTCGTAATCTCGTCCGCGATGCTTGATATTGCTCAACAATTTCTCCACCGGAGCATATAAGTAGATAATTAGATCAGGTTTGGGTAAAGACGGATTGATGATATCGAACAACATTCGATATAACTTGGCTTCATCGGATTTCAAATTTTGATTGGCAAAAATCAACGATTTCTGAAAAAGAAAATCAGACACTGTAAACGTTTGAAACAAACTTCCTTCGCTCAACAGTTTTTTCAAATGCTGAAAACGTTCAGCCATAAAATACAACTCCACCGGAAAAGCATGTCGTTCCGGGTCTTGATAAAAACCGGGCAGAAACGGATTGTCTTCAAACTGCTCCAAAATCAGTTGCGCATTGAATTCCTGGGCCAACATTTTCGACAATGTGGTCTTCCCGGCCCCTATGCAACCCTCAATGGTGATGAAATTGTAAGACAAGACGTAATTTTCGGCTAAAATAAACGTCTTTACAAATTAACACAGATTAAATTGAACACATTTGTCTATAGTTTTCAACGGTAAAGCTCAATTATGAGGAACGATAAGCGACCGGATGATACAATTTGTGATGAGTCCCTAAAAACAAACGAGCATATATTCTTAACACAGCAATTTCAAGCAATAGAAAACCGAATGCTGTAAAAATAATAAGTAAATATTCGTGTTTGTGAATATGGCTAAACATTAAATCTATACCAATAAACGAAGGAGTGAACGGTAAGCTTACAAAACCCAAGCATGCCATAAGAAAAATAAAACTCAGCTTTGGGTACTCATACACATTCCCATAAAAAGAATTCAAATCAATCCTACCTTCTTTTGCTTTCAATTTAAACAAACACACTAATCCAATCACTGCTGAAATCGATAACCCACTGATGTATAATAGAATTTCATGATACTCGTATTTATCGTTGAGTAAGGCGATAGATAACACATTAAAAAATTGGCTGAAAATAATCAAAGCCCAAGCCTTTATTGCATTATCGCGCTCTACAAAAGATCGCAGAATAAGAATCATTCCAATAAACCCAAACAGCAAATGAATATCTTCATCAAGTTGTTGAGGAATTTGTTCTTCAAATGAAAATGCCAATAAGCCTAACAAATAAATAGCTACCAGAACAACAATTGTCCATTTAGAAGAAACAAAACTTAACTTTCTTCCCATCCATTTTACAGGACGCCATAACAGCAACATAAAGAACCTGTCCATTTCCCACTCTTTCAAACTAAGCATGTATATGGTTGTTTTCCACTTTAAGGAAAAGCCAGTTTGTTCTATCCTTTTCGTAGGCTGAAAGTTAAAAAACTGATCATGTACCATATACCCTAATACCGATGGTGATACCAATAATTGATAGGTTCTTAATAACGCATTCCCTACCAAATGGACTAATACCAGAACATGCCATCCCATGGCCACTTCAACAAACATTATACCTATTTGTGCTATTGAACTATAAGCTATTTGTGTTTTTACAGAAGCTTGAACATTAGCAATAGAAGATGCAATAAAGGCTGTAACAACACCAATAGTAATAATGAAAAGTTTTGCTATGCCAATTGTCTCCCAATAAGGATAAGTTCTAAGTAACAAAAAAACACCTAAATGCACAGAAAGCGAACCATAAAAAACGGCACTTGAAGTTGTTGGCCCTTCCATAGCTCTTGGCAACCATGATGAAAAGGGGATTTGCGCAGATTTAATAGCAGCTGCTATCACCAACATGAGTATGATAAACAGCACAAAATAATAGTGTTCTTGAATATGTGCTACTACTAAGTCTACATGATTCAATTTCACAAACGTTATATTCTCGTGCCATAGATGATGGCTCATCCATAATGCCAAAATTAAACATACATCCCCCACCCTATAAAGCGATATAGTTTTAAGGGCATTCTTTACCGGCAAATAACGATCTCTGTAAAAGGCAATCAGTAAGAAGGACGTAATCCCCAAAAATTCCCAACCAATAAACAGTGTTTCAAAATTCCCGGAAAACACAACTACATTATAACCAAAATAGAATAACAAAAGGGTATTAAAAAATCGTTTATAACCTTCGTCTCGGTGCAAATAAAAGGAACTAAAAACAGCCACTAAAAATGTAATAAAAGCACCTAAAACACTAAATACCGCTGTAATATGATCAAAATAAAAATCGAGATAAATTTCAATAGTATCCTCTTTATAAAACACAAAATGTTTTAAATCGAGTACTTCAGCACCGGTGGCTAACCATAAACCGCTGAAAACAATAACCAGCAATAAATGCAAACCAAGTGCACCAAATGTAACCGTTGATATCCATCTTTCTTTTTGTCCACTAAACAAAAGACTTAGAAAAAAACCGACTAACGGTATAAAAACTAAAAACTGTAATAGAATGAGCATCGTTTAATCGTATAAATGAACAGGTAAATTTTCCTGTGTGGCATGAACAATATGATTGGTTTCCATTTCCTTTGCCTCTTCTAAAAGAGTATGAACATCTTTATAGAAGTGAATATCTTTTGCATGTGTAGCATATGGAACAAAGTTGCCTTGTTGGAAATAATACAACGCTCCAGAATCCGGGTGAATGACAACTAGATGAACCCACTCATTGATGAACCACTCATACATTGATGTATCACTCTTAATTACTTGAAGGACTATTTCAGGAAAATGCTCAACAATAATCATTAAACGAAGTGGGTCGTGGACTTCTATCATTTGCCAAGGTAAGCCCGGACGTAAATCGCCATCACTACTGTTGGCAACACCAATAAGGCCCATTACATTATGCGGAAGCTTTGTACCCGCACCAAGCTTTTGATTATCAACTCTCGAAAAATAATACTCTAAATTTATACCTCCACAAACAGGTCCAAGCGGTCGCATAATACCTGCCAGAAATTTTCCTTCTGGATCTGATTTATAATCGTATGAATTAAGAAACGCCCTGCGGTCCAAAAACAGTCCTTTAGTAAGCGCTCTTTTGCCTACAACACATAAAGTGTTCGTACCATGACCTAATTCCGGACGAGGTTCAAACAAAGACACCGAACGATCTTTAATCGCCTTCCTAATTTTTTTGATGTCTTGTTTGGTATCAATAGATGCAAATCGCCTTGAACGCTCCTTAGCATTTAAGTCTAGTGCATGTTCGAATGCTGCTACGTTTTGTACATGCAATAGCTTATTCTCAGTATTTAAAATAGCTACATCATAATATTCCATTTCATCTGCAGCAGTATCGTGCAAAGCACCAACAAACTGTGTTTTTTCCGGAATGAAAATACCTAATGCTTGTAATTGAAGTCTAACTTTCGGATGATTAGCCATTGCTGCAAAAACTCTTCCGTTCACGGATCCGGGTCGACCACTACACGCCCCACAATCATGCGCACCGTGATGTGGATTATTTGCACTACTGCTTCCATGCGCAACAACATAAACTATGGGTGCAAACTGCTTGGTTAATGCAATACCATTCAACAAAGCAGCTACACGAGTAGTCATTTCCTCTACAGTAAATCCGATTTGCAAACCATTTTCTTTATCGTCAACTGATGTATTCTCTATCGTCAACTTCCCTTGAAGATTCATATGCGCAAATGCATTGAAAATAGCCGGACTCATTTTAGGTTTGAAGATAGTTTGTATCAAACGAAATCCAGCCCAAAATCCAAAAGTTATGGAGCTCAAAAACCCTGTTGCTAATTGATGTGTCTTAGAAGTATATAATAAATCATGTTTCCGCGCATCAGTAACATCGTATTCCTTGATTAAATATTGAGGTGTTACAGGAGCAGGACAAAGTTTATCGTAAAACTTAGCACCAAAGGCTTGAAAATAAAATTCAACACTAAAAAATCCAGGTGTACCAAACGTTTCGCAACTAGGCACCATGCTTTCGATGTGCCTCCTTAAGCTACATTCGCGCTCATCTATACAAAACAAAGCTTGAAATGATGGTGTTGAATTTGTAGTGCTGACAGCAGTATTCTGCACTTTCAATTGCTGAATACCGGCCAGTACTTCATCATAATAACTCCATTCAAACGCTTCTTGCCAAATTTTTAAAATCTCGTGAAATTCTTGTTCCTCAATAGAAGCAAATAAATCAATCGGTTTCAATATTGAATCCTTTGCGATAGGTTTCCATACTTCACCTAATACAGTATCTAGCCTATCGATTTCTAAAAGCAACTCAAAAACAATTACATCATGAAGCGAAATCTTCTTCGGACTGAGTAAGGTTTCCGGACGATCCTCTACAGTCGCAACAATTCCACTCCAACCTCTATGACTAAACTGTTGATCGAAAATATATTGTTCATAAAATGCTTCATTTCCCACAACAATTTCCAATAACTCTGCAATCGTAATATTCGACTTCTGAAGCAATTGTTTAGCCCGAGAAGAGGTGAAAAAGCTGGTAAAACTATTTTGCTCTAATGCCCTTATACTATCGAGAAAACCTAAGCCTGTTTCCGGAAACGAAATATGCGCTATTCCTTGATCGAGGTAACCCACAAGTATTCGAAACAATAGCGGCTGTACACTGTTATCGACATCAATCTTATACTTGCGTTTCCATTCCTGTCTAAGCATCCCTATTCTGGGCACGTTTACTTCATCGTATTGCTTATGCAAACAATTTGATTTCCATGCTTCAATTGCCTCAACACCTTTTCGATTTGCAATAACTCTACCCAAAACAACATCATCAATTCTTCCAATGTGATACAAGCTTCTGAAATCTTGTAATGGCAGAGTGGCTTGATAGCCAAAAATAGTGGAAGCCTTAAATATTGCATCAAAGAATTTCATCTCCTGAAACGCATGCAATGAGTTATGATGAATGAAATCCTTCAACGGAGTTTGCGATGGCAAATAGTGCCTTAATGCATGTAAGAGATGCTTTTCATCAAATATCAATGCCTTGTTCATTAACAGTGATCTACTTTTTTTGAAATATCAAATCGATAAATCGGGTCGATGTCTTCTCCTTCATCATGAATTACAGCTAAGTCTTTCACTAAGCCATTGCTTAATCCATATACCCAACCATGCAAAAACAAAGGTCGTTCGGTCCATGCTTTTTGTACAATAGTTGTCTTAGCTAGATTTCGCACCTGCTCGATTACATTAAGTTCAGTAAGACGATTCGCACGATCCGTTCGATCTTCAATTGCGGCTAACTCTTTTTCATGCTTGTGATAAACATCTTTTATGTTACGCAACCAATTGTCTACAAAACCGTGAAACGAATTCGACATAGCCGCATTCACTCCACCACAACCGTAGTGACCACAAACAATAATATGCTTCACATGTAAAAAATTCACTGCATATTCTAATACACTTAACAGATTCGAATCGGTATGTACAACCAAGTTGGCGATATTACGATGCACGAAAATTTCGCCACTTTGTGTGTGCGTGATCTCATTGGCAGGTACACGACTATCACTACAACCAATCCAAAGATAGGTAGGGGTTTGTCCTTCCGCTAATTTTTTAAAATAATCGGGGTCCTGAAACAATTTTGTTTCTGCGAATAACTTATTTCCTCTTATTAGTTTTTGATATGATTCTTCCATTTTTTTAAATTCATTTTAGTGTCCCGATGAGACGTTATAACTATTATCTATTTTGTATACTTCTTTAAAATTTTCTGTTTTGCAAACAATTTGCTTCAGTGGAGCTTTAATATCTCTAAACTCTTTTATCAATTCTAGCACATCAAAATCGATGTAACGTGTATCAGAAGCGTCAATCACCACTTTTGCATTGGCAGGGATATGATCTAATGTTTCGCGAATAC